CTGCCCAGGCTTGACAAAGAAGCAGATCCTGGACTGTGTCTATTTAAGATTGTGAAAGATAATGCTTGAGAGAACAGCTTATCTGCCCACCCACCGGTGGCAGAAATGCAGCAAATTGCTCAGAGGACAGCCAAGCCATTAGGCAAGCTTGATAGGGAGTGACAGACAAGGTGATACTGATTAGCTCTCTAAGAAATGCTCTCTAAGCGAGGTGGAGCTAACATCTACTACTTGGTAGGAATTTGGTCAGTTTGTCAGGTTTGTCAGAACTAACAGCTATTGAGAGACACAGCAAGACAGCACCCAGAGATGCGAGATGAACAGTACGAGAGGCATTCCTTCCTTTTCTTCCTTATGTATTCTGATGACTGAGATAACTTAATGCGAGACACAGATGCTCATCGGCAGTGAAATATTCCCTCTTTTCCCTTTCCCCAGCGGAGTAGCCTAAGGACATTTGTGACTTTTCAGAAAATATTTGTTCAGCATTTCCTCTCTCCTGGACACCTAGCCACATCGAGGGTAGAGTGTAGAGGGAAGAAAGAAAAGGCCAGAGACCACAAAATATGGTTTATGTGAGGTTAGTAATGTTATTATTACCTTACTGTGGTCACTCTTTTGTTCATATACTCTAATGTCATGCTGTTCCCGTTGTCTGATGTTAACTCCTATGAGAGGAATTGGATGTGCAAACGGGCCTGGAAGATGAATGGACTTGAAGTCATCTATTAATTTCTCTTGGTAGCAGACTACTTGCTGCTGCCATTTGTACGGCCATTATTCCACCCTCTCCTAAAGTTCAGATGTTGCTTGCAAAGGTGGAGAAAAGGAGCATGTGGCTTCAGTACACAGACACACAAAAGGCTGTGGCTCACCCCCACTTTCTCTGCTGTAATTGGATTCAGAAAGCAGGTGCCCAGCCCTTAATCACAGAAACACCATCCTTTAGGTCAGAAGCAGATTTCTCTGCACACAGACCTTTAGAATTCCAGATGTAGATGGAAAAAAGACCCTGAAGGAGAATTCTGTCTGGAAAGGTGGCTGAGGCTACTGTTCAACCTTTGCATTTTAATCCTTTCCACTCAACCTAATTTGTCCATAAAATTTTTTTCTCAGTCAACAAGACCACAAATAATAAAAAAGTACAATACTTGCTCGCATGTGTGGGTACCTCCACTCCCTGAAGGAGACATACTGAGATTGCAGAAGCATTCTTAGTTTTCCTTCATAGTAACAGTACATGAATATATACTCATAGAAGAAGAGGTTTCTCAAAGTGTGTTTTGTTAATGGCCTGTTTTATCCAAGGGGGAACTGAAGCTATTTGTTCAGCTTTTAACAAGAAAAATAGATTCAGAAATCATTTCCTGGTGTAGTCCATGCCCCTCTCAACTCTGTTACAGTCCTTGATGTTTCCTGCTGCTCTGATTTTATCCAGAAGCATAGCATCGTGTACACTGAGCTCTTAGGCTGTGTTTTGAACTCAGGACATTATGCATGCTAAGTAGGCATTCTGTCACTGAGCTGCAGGTCCAGACTCCAGGGGACTTCCTCCCTCCTCTAGTATATTTAGTAAGATTTCGTCAAATGGAGGGAGAATGGGTAGCTTCCTGAGGGGATCTGAAATAAACCAGAAACTTCTATAGTTATTATCAATTATTTGTTCTCTTACCTAGAATTTCCTAGTTCAGTTTGTCTACACAGAAACCCAAAAGTATGGACTCATTGTCCATGGATACTTTAGATTCACAGTTTTCATTTGTCCTTGTTTCAGGAAAGAAAAGTGAGAAATCAGGACAAGCACCCTGTAGGCACATGTCACCTGGACTAAGATATTTTCTGGCACATCTGAAATAGAATGATATCTCAAATGTTGGCATGCATTGGGATGTGTTATTTCTTCTTCTTTTTAAAATCAAATGTCTTCTCCATATTCTCTCTTTTTAAAATGATGCTAGATAGAGATAAGTTAATATTTAGTTAAGGTTATTTCTATTCTTGCTGTCTAAATGATATTTTTTTCACTTCCTAAGGATCTTGGTGGTGTGGTGGCGTGGGAAGTTGGACAGGATTGTTTCTGTTTGTCTCTCTGGCTTCAGCTTCTCTTGGCTACTAACTGTATGATCTTGGATGACATGGTCCTCTTCTGTGATGTGGCATTCCCCTCTGTATGCTATGAATATATTTTATTACCATTGGTTAATAATGAAGCTGCTTTGACCTATGGCAGGGCAGAATATAGGTAGGCAGGAAAATTAAACTGAATGTCAGGAGAAAGAAGGCAGAATCAGAGATACCATATGGCTTCCGAAGGAAAAAGACACCAGAAACTTACTGGTAAGACCCAGCCTCATGGCACTACACAGATTAATAGAAATGGATTAATTAACGATGTAAGAGCTAGTTAGAAATATGCCCGAGCCACTGGCCAGACAGTGTTGTAATTAGTAGTTTTTGCGTGATAATTTGCGTTCACACAGACCTGTGACAGCTCATGACTGGATTCTCTTCCTGTATTTCCCAGAAGCTCTGTGGAATCATGACTCAGTGTAGCACACTCCTCTAGAAATGCTGGTGTTCAAGGGAGGCAAATGTCTAGTTTGTTATCCATTTCTAAACATGGGGAATTTGGATGCTGCTCCTCTGAGTTCTTCTGACTCAAGCCATTTCAGGAAAGTTTGAGAAGGGCTAGAATTCAGCTCACCCATGGTTCCCTGAATGGTACTAGTGTTATGCAGCCTCAGGTCCAATCTGTAGATTCCTTTCTACATGTTTTTTTTTTAATCCAGTTTTCTTTTCTTTTTCAGACATCTGGATGCCTCAAGAAGCTAGCTTTTCCTTTTTCTGTTTTAAAACATCCTTTAAGAATAAATGGCAGCCCAGGGAAGGTGGTGCTTGTGTTTAGACCCAGCACTTGAGAGGCAGAGGCATGTAGTAATATTTTATTTGTATTTTAATAAATAAACCTTACCTGAAGATCAGAGAGTAAAACAATCCCACTTATTAGCCTTACAGACTAGGCAGTGGTGACACATACCTTTAATACCAATAGCCACACTAGTTTGCCAAAGAAACCGGGTGGTAATGGTAAGCGCCTTTAATCCCAGCCCTAGAGAGGAATATAAGATGGGAGGAGACAGCTCTCAGGCTCAGTCTCATTCTCAGATGCCTGAAGGCAGGATTACCATTTCAGACAGACTGAGGTAGAGGTAAGAGCCAGTGGCTGGCTGTTTTGCTTTTCTGGCCTTCAGGATGAACCCCAATATCTGTCTCTGGTTTTTTTTTTTTTTTTTTTTTTTTTTTTTTTTTTTTTTTTAATCATGCTATAGAGGCAGGTAGATTTCTGTGAGTTCAAGGCCATCCTGGTCTACAAAGTAGGTTCTTCAACAGCCAGAACTATGCAGAGAAAACCTGTCTCAAAAAAAACAAAACAAAACAATAAAGACATAAGTGGGATAACATGTGAAAGTTTGTTATGCTCCAGGGAAGAATGTCTCATGAAATGGGGTTTTCTGTATTTCTTAACTTCAAATTATGTAAATCATCTAGGGAGTTTAGTTGAATACACTTGAAACAAAAAGAAATGTAGCCATCATAAGGATGGGTGTTTGATTTTTTTTCTTTTTTTTTTATTGAGAATAAGAAAAAAAAGTTTCCGCCTCCTCCCAGCCTCCCATTTCTCTCCCCCTCCCCCCAATCTTCTCCCCCTCCCNGTCATGGTTCCCTGTCCTGTGGAAAGTCCAAGGTCCTCCCCCCTACGTCCATGTCTAGGAAGGTGAACGTCCAAACTGGCTAGGCTCCCACCAAGCCATTTTTATATTTTAATTTTGAGATTGAGTCTTCTAGAAAACTTAACAGAACCTTAGATAATTTTTTGTATTGTGTTGGGAATTAAGGTTTGGTAAATTTTCAATAATGTGAAATCAAAAAGCTATACACAGGACAATGGATAGAAAGATTTTTAGACCTTTAAATTGTGGAGCGATGAACTGTTTTAATTTATAATTACAGTTTTAGATATAATGAGATTGTGCGTAGTTTGAAGAACATAACAAACCTAATTTCTCTAAATTATAGCAAACCAGCAAGCAAACTTAACATTTTAAAAATAAAAAATGTTCACATTGGCTAAGTATCTTTTCTGGTTCTGAGATTTTGGAACATAAAGATATTATGTATATGTTTTTCTTGTCATTACAAAGAATTTGGACACTTTTAAAGATATGTTTTGGCTGAAAAGTCATTCACATGCATTTTTAAACTCATGAAAATAACTGATTTTCAGTATGTTTTTATATTTATCAAGTTTTAAAACATACTTTCTATTGTGACCACTGTAGAAAGAGACCCTAACTGGGCAGGAGGGGGGAAGGTATGTAACTTCATTACAGTTTATGAGCGAAATAAAACCCTCAAATTCCTCTCTTCCATTTCTGTACTCATGAAATCCAAGCTAAAGGCAATAGCAGATGTGGTATCTGGTTAGGTCCTGGTTCATAGAAACTAAGTGTTTATGTACCCTCACATGATAGGCAAGAGGGTAAAGGAATGTCTAAGGGCTCTTTCACAGGGGAACCTGGTCTTATTCATTAGTGCTCTACCTTCATGGCGGAATTTTCTAAAAGCCTCATCTCCCAACACCATTCTTATTAGGCCTCGTGTGAATTTTAGGGCCACAAAGATACACACCGCAGAAACACAGGAGTTCTTTAAGTGTATTTGTAACATTTACTTTCTATCTACTAGACATGGTGCTATTTCTGCAGTCATTTTGTGTACCATTTTCTAGGGAGCGTTAAGTTAAATTGTCTGCAGAATTCAGAGGGGAAAAGTGAACTGGGTTATCCATGTCTCAAGAGGACAAAGAAGTAGAACAGCCACCTCCTATTTTTTTTTTCTGGGAGGAAGTCAAGGAGATATTGTACTTCTGACTTAAGTTAAAGGAACTTACTTACAAAATATATCCACATGACAGTGTGCTGTGCTTTACTTTTCTACAGGATTCGATTGCTGGAACTGACAACTGCAACCTGTATTTCTCTTCCACTATGAGCAGACCGACACTGTTGCCCAGCTCTGTGCCTTTCTGTAGCGTTCTCTTCCTTACCTTAGCCACACAATGTCTAGCTTTCCCAAAAGTGGAAAAGAGGGAGATGGCACATGCTTATGCCCAGACAGAGCAGTTCTGGAAGATGGACACAGGTGATTGAGAAAATTTCTCCTCTGCTCCAGAGCACATGCCCCAGCAGACATCTTCTGAAGCTCCTATGGTACTGTCTGCGGGACCATCTGTGATGCCATTAAATAAAGTTTTTTCAATCAACAAAGAACACCACCTCCTTGGAGCTGTACTTCTGAATCCTAACGTCCCTGATCTTCAGTCTTCCACTGAGCCAGCGGTCTCAGCCAGTGAACAAGGGCATGGTCCCAGTCAGCTTGAAGGAATGTCTTCTGAACAGAGACTTCCCAAGGCCTTGTCAATCATTGCTGTCTCTTCACCTCCTTCTCTTAATCCTCACCAGGAGGGGCCCCAGAGCAGCTCTAGCACCCAGCCCATTGTAGAAGGGATCACAGTTGTAACACGTGACTTCCTGAAGTCTGTGGATAATCAGTTGTTTGCAACTGAAAGTCAGGAAGCAGTTAGCTTGGGACATACACCTTCATCTTATATAAATACCAGAGAAATGCTAGCTGCCAGTCCAAGAACAGAGAAAGCTGACACAGATGCAGCCAAGAGGTCTACTGTCTTTCCTGGGGTCGATTCCACAGCAGACACAGAGTATGATGGGGAGAGGCCCTCGGAGGAATCAGATGACAATGTGCAGACCACTGCCACCACATACTTGGAGACAATCCCCGAGGATGCTCTGAATATTGATCCATCAGCTGAGAGTCTTCTGGGGGACCTCAAGGTCACAGTGAGTGTCAGCACAGCTGTTCCGGTTTCTTCCGTCCCAAGTGATGAGTGGGATGACACCAAATTTGAGAGTGTAAGTCAGGCAAGGACCACAGATTTGGACCATGCAGAGACTCGGGTGAGAACAGAGCCACCACATGGAGCACAAGAGAGCTTTGAAGGGACTGAGGGGAGCCCCACTTCCACAGAGGATAACAAGGTGGCACCCTTGGGGACAGCTCTGGTAATTGCACTGGAGAAAGAGAGATCACAAGTCTTTGCCCATCAGATTCCCTTTAGTCCCACGAGTCTGACAGAAGACCCTGAGGTTTCCACTGTGAAACTGTTACCAAGTGCTGGAGACAGGACCATGATTTTCTCAAAGACTGAAGTTTCTACCTCTCAATACGAGTCTCAGACACATCAGGGAGTAAAAGATATGTTAAAAGGTAAAGAATGAAAACAACAATGAAAATATCCCAAATGTTGTTTAACTCGAAAACTTTCAATTTGGATTTATTTTTTATTTAATTTATTTATTTTAATGTATTTGAGATAAGATCTTTACTTCACTACACAGTTTTTGAGATAAGCTCTTGACTTCACTGTTTTCCTACCTTTGTCCCTAACTCATAGAACTGGAGATGTGTGTCATCATGCCTGCCTGGTTTTGTTTGTTTGTTTGTTTACTTTGGTTTTAGCTTTAAACTCACCATGTAGTCCAGTTGACCTCAAGCATATGACTGTCGCTACCTCCTGAGGAGTGAGAGTTTAGAAGTGGGCTGCTGTCTTAGGCTTTGGTTACATTTTTTCATGGTGACTTAGAAACAGTTACTCTAGTTTTAACCAAATACAGAACACTCAAATAAATCATATATATTCTATTTAAAAAAATCATATCCCACATGTGTCAAGGTCTTCACCTAAGGACTGTTTCCTGTACACCCCACCCCTCAATGGAATACTTGGAGATGTTTTGAGTTGTTTTGGCCGAGGGTTACTACTGGATCTTTTGGTTGGGGGCCAGGGATGCTTTAGAACATTCTATATCTGCAGGGCACTGTCGAGAAGCAAGGTCTTAGCCAATCTATCAACAACTTTGAAACCAATGTATATTTCAAATAGTTGAATATTTTTCAAATCTTTTGTCATGACAATATAAGTACATATGTAAGTACAAAGGAAGCGGGTATATATTTTAGTTTCACAACAATATATGGTACCTATTTATACCTAAGTATATGCACATCTCTGGTATTTCTCACTAAAAATAATTACACAAAATTTATCTTGTAGTTTTAATCACTTGGTTCTCTAACCTTATTTAACCCAAAATAAATAGTTTAGAAATAATATGTAAAGAAAATATAAATCATCTACTGGCTTCATTCTGAACTTTCTACTTTTTCTTGGCCTCCATATTTTTGACTATAAGAAGGTAAAACCCTAGTATTAGTTGTCGATGGATTACGTTTTTATTCTGTGGTTGGTCACATAATAGCATCCGAAAGGAAAGATTTTGTATAAAATTAATGTATTCATTGCAAATTGGTTTAGAATATGCAAATCTTATGACCTAGATCAAGTAACCTATTAATAAAAAGGATAGAACAGATTTGTAGTATGACTTATAAAGTTCTGTTGAGATGTAATTAAAATATAAAAGTGATCATTTTATAAATAATAAAAGGAAGACTGGATAGTTTGCATGCCTGTTTTGAGTTTTAAGTTTTTCTGTTTGTTTTGAGACAGTATCTCAAGTTGCTCAGAGTCATACTTGATATATAACCACAAGTGGCCTTTAGTGCCTGATCCTCTTGCCTCTCCTTCCGGACTGCTCTGATTATTGTTGTGCCTTACCATGCCCAATTTCTACCTCACTTTGGGAAGACTGACATAGCTGTAAGTGTGCATTTTCATATATGCTTCCAGAAGATATTTTATAAGTTCTAGTCAAATTTTTCACGAGGTGACAGTTTCCTACTGCATGTGGCCTCAAAAGCACAGAGGTTCGCATGCCCTGAATCTCAAGAGCTGAGATAAAGGCATATGCCACCACTCACAGGATAACGTGATTTGAAAAAGACATGAAGTTGAGCTCGTGCAAGCATGAAGATGTTGAAACAATAGCTTCAATTGTCTGTAGCACTTACGTTTCTAGAACGTAATGTACGGATGTAATGTCTGGCCCCTAGCATACATTACTCCAGCAAGCCTGGATTGTTACATTTTAGACTTTTACAGTTGCAAACTAGAAAGTACAATGGACCTGGTCATATTCAGGCTATTTTGATGATCAAATATGCTCTCAGTAATAACTGCCTCATTTGCCTACTGTTTTGTGAGCAGGCTCAGTGGTTAGAGCCCCTACTGTGCTTGCAGAGGACCCGAGCTTAGTTCCTAACACTACATCAGGAGGATCATTGTAACTCTAGGTCCAGGGAAACCAGCATCCTTTCTGGCCTCCAAGGACACCGACACTAATGTGAACCAAGAACACATACTTAAAAATAAAACAATTAAAAAAAGATGTCTACTGAAAACTGCTTTATGCAGGGCACTGTGATTTCATGTTTGGAATATAAAGACTTTGCCTGCTTCAAAAAAATGTAAGAAAGAAAGAAAGAAAGAAAGAAAGAAAGAAAGAAAGAAAGAAAGAAAGAAAGAAAGAAAGAAAGAAAGAAGAAAGAGAAAGAAGAAAGGAAGGAAAGGAGAAAAGGAAGGAAGGAAGACAGTAGATAAATACTGTTCTTATTTAATAGCTAAGGAAACTGGAAGACCAAAGATGTTCAGTAATTAGCTTAGGATCACAAATCTAGAGAGCGCTTGAACCAAAATTCAGACTCAAGTAAACTGGCTCTGTCGTCTGCATTGTTGACCACTGTGGAGTAGGTTTCTATGGGTTATGTTATTCTCCTTCTTCTTTATCACACATGGGAGGGTAAGTTAAGAGTATATACCACACCGTGATTGTTCTGCCTGTCCTTCCCAGAAACTAGGTAAACATTGGTTGATGTAATTATTTTTTTTCATTTGAAAATGCCAAATTTCTTCCCCTCTTTTATATATGCAAATGTAAACATAAGTATAAAAAATACTTCTGAGAGATTTTAGTGTAACTTAGTTCTGGGTAGTTTGTTTCCTAACAGACTGATTCAACTAATATTCAAACATATCCGAGAAGCTCAGATAGCCTATGAATGAACTCAAAAGGGCCTAGAATGACCAGAATAATTGGTAATTAGTTTAATTAAAATTAATAATTTCCTTTTTTGCTTCAATTTTATTTTAGGTTTTTTGTTTGTTTGCTTGTTTTTACATTTCCTTCTTTTTCTCTGCCTCAGATTACCCCACAACTCCCCTAAGCAACTGCAGTAACATTTCCTTATTGGCCTTGGATTCCCAAGTTGTAGTTGTTGTTCTGGGCTCTGAAAGAGATATCTACCCTTTTTCATTATATTGGCCCCCATAGAGACTTTAATGTATAGTAATTTGGTTTATTAAAACCCGTTTTTCCTTTGCAGACATCACACAGGAGATGGCAATGGCCACACAAGAACCAGACCCCACATTACCCTTGGTGACACAAGAGCACGTTGAGGTCCCCAGAGGCAGTGGGGAGCCTGAAGAAGGCATGCCATCACCCTCTCCTGTGTCTGCTGATGTGGGTGCCACCGAACTCTCCAGAAGATGGGAGTCTCTGGCCACTCCAGCCTCCACAGCTGTTGTCCCTTTGTCTCTCGAAGTTACCTCTTCCATGGAAGGTCAGTACACGAGTGTGGGTTCAGCATTTGGAGCAGGAGTGTGGACCTTTACTGTGAATTACCGGGATGAGTGAGGCACCTGGCCCTTTTACCAGCATGCATGTCTTCCTACCTGGAAAGATGCTCAACTCTCTTTCTTGTAGAAATATGTTATAGCCTCAAAGGATGAGGTGACTCTTCTGGTCCCCAAGTCTTAGCCTCCTGAGGACTGCCTCCTAAAAGCCAGGGTTGGGAGTTTAAAAATAGTAAGGACCTGGGTTTGGAGCCACCTTTGGCCTCTTTAAGACTGTGACATCAGGTAAGCTGCTGGACTTTTATAGGCTTCTGTTCATTTCCAGAACTGTCTACTTATGTTATTGTAAGGAAGTAATCTATGAAAAGGGTTTTGTATATAATAGACTCAGGTGCCCTATTCTCTCAAGGGCAATGAAGTTTTAACATCTTGCTGGTTATCAGAATCTCTTGGGTACGTGCGTGTGTGTGTGTGTTTATGTGTATACATATAGATAGAGAAATGAATACATATATATGTATTCATTTATCATTGTCCAAGCAAAGATGAGATAATCATTGAGATATTTTTAAAAATATAATAAATGTTTTCTAATCCTGCCTCCTAATCCTCCTTCCAAAACAAAGCACACAAAGCTCAGCTCTAGAGTCTGACAATAACCTTCATGAAATCTGATGACCTGTACCCTAACTGTCTCTCTTCTGACTGGTAACCAGCATTATCAATTTTGTTTCCCTAATCTTCTTCACGCCACACTTACCTCTACCTCCAGGTTTTGTGTATCTATAGTTTACAAGTACACATTTCCATTTTTTTTCTTTTTAAATTTTTAAGAAAAATACTGTACTGCAGGCAATCTTTTTGGAAGCTAGCATTTTCCCTTACCGTCCTGATTGTCAGACATCCTGTAGTTTCTTTGTTCTGACCATCGTGTCATTATGGAAGCACATCTCATTATTCATGCAGCATTCTTCCGTGCTCCCGCAGTCTGCATCGGGACCATCTCCAGGTACAGCTGTTGTAACTACAGCTATGGTGAACACTCTTTCGCATGATCTGCATTAGACAGTGAAGGACTGTTTCATAGGTAGAGGGGTTGCTGACCATAGGATGTATGAGTATGTGACATTAGGGACCTATGTCCCCTTTTCGTAGTGGTTGTTGCACCAATTTATATTCCCGTAAGAAATATAAGGGGGCCTTGTGGCTGTATATCATGGGAATATATATATATATATGTGTGTGTGTGTGTGTGTATTATGTATGCATTATGTATGTTTTCCTCTGACTCACAGGCAAAGAGATTCTGATTCAGAAAGTTGGGAATGTGTAAATTCTGTCTAGGGAAATTCTGACGGTTCAAACTATAATTGTTGTAGTTTCTTTAGGTATGGGGCGCTTAGAGCTTCATTTGGATGCTTTGAAAGAGTCTACTTTAGTCATAGATCTTCCCCCTGATTTTGTGAAGCATGCTGTTCTTTCCAAAGAAATCCCTGCCATTTAACTTGGTGCATTCTGTTTGTTAAATTTCTGTCTTTGGTACCCATCCAAAATTCAGCACCATTCATTATACTATTGATAAAATAAGTGAGAGAATAAATTTCCAAAGCAAAATTATGATTTGAGGCCGTGTCTCTTCCCAGATGATGAAGTATTTTCTGTGTGTCGCTGAGTTAGGTGAGAAGAGGAGCTGAACCAAGTGCTGAATTCACTGTGTCTAAGACACTGCTTCCTTGCCTTCCAAAGCTCATGTTAGCATTTTCTATAATGATTGTCTTGTGGGTCAAGTCTTGTCTCTTGTATTTGGCAGACCTAATGGACACAATCACTGGGCCAAACAAGGAATTCATACCAGTTTTGGGCTCTCCAGAGGCACCACCCCCTGCAATGACTGTGGAAACTTCCACAATTTCTCCAGCACTCCCATCTGAGGGAAGAACTATTTCACCCATCAACCACCCAAATACAGCTGCCTCGTATGGACTGGAACAACTCGAATCTGAAGGTACCCTTGTCTCTGACCACATATTTGAGAAGCAAATAAGTAGATGTAAGTTTAAGTCACTGGGTAAACTGCTCTACCACCAAAGAGTTTCTTAACAAAACCCTCTGCGTAGGGGTCCATCCCTGTGATTCCAATTAAATTTACATGGGCAAGATATGGCACTAACATTTAAAATGAGTATATGAATTGGTTATATTATGAAGACTGGATGAAAATAATAAGTTTAAATGGAGGAGCTGTGTTTTCTCCATCTGATTGTTTTGATGAATGTTTAAATCTGTGTTTTCATAATATCACCCTATCAGTACGGGGAGGATATTAAGTTATCACTTAGTAACATCTTTGAGTTACTGTCTAGAGAAAACAGTTTCTTTATTATTTAATACTGAGTAATTCATGCCAAATTGTATAGTTTAAGGCATTGACTTTGGCCATGAAAAATGTAATGGAGGAGTAGCTGAACATCAACAAACAACAAGAATGGAGATAGGGCCCACACTCACATGACTCCTTGAGTGGGCACCCTGAAAGGTGAGGAATAGCAGGTTGGAGGTGCAAATTTTTAGAAGGCTCATGACAGGACTGCTGACTCAGAACTCTGGGAAGCTCTTTTTTTTTTTTTTTTTTTAAATTACATCATTATATATACTGTGTTCTGTATTTAGGACTGCATGTAGGGCTGTACATCAGAAGAGGGCACTATAGATGGTTGTGAGCCACCATATGGGTGCTGGGAATTGAACTCAAGACCTCTAGAAGAGCAGCCAGGGCTCTTAAGCTCTGAGCCATATCTCCAGCCCCCAGGGATGCTCTTATTAGGCAGTCAGTCACGTCCTAGGTAAGCAAGGACAAAAGTACTGGGGTTTTATTTTATGTTTTCTCAGCTGCCAAGAAGAGGTTCAGTTGGGTGGATAGGAAATCCTCCCTCCCACAAACATTCATGTTATCATTTTTTCTTAAATCATGAAGGTATGTGTGTGTCTGGATGAGTGTATCCCATGTATGTATTGGTGCCCTTAGAGGCCAGAGGCATCAGATCCTCTGGAATTAGAGCCACAGGAAGTTGCCATAGGTGCTGGAAATTGAACTTGGATCCTCTGCAGAAACAATACACACCCTTAACTGCTGAGCCATCTCTCTAGGCCAAGTCTTATAGCCTTCCAGGGTGACACTTGTAATCTACTCAATGAGATACATAACATTTTAAGAGTGGCTCGGAGAATTTCACAGAGGAATGCTGGTTTAAGAAGCAGGCTAACGTGGTCCCAGAGGCTAACATTCTCTCACATCACATGAAGACAGATACCATATGGCTTTGGGCTCAATGCCTCTCTCTTATTGTCAGTTCCCTTGAATGCCGTCTATAAAAATCAGATTTCCTTAAATTAACCCGAGAGGTAGCTGGCAGCACTGCTTGGCACGGCTCATTAAATTAAAGAAAAAAAAAGCATATTTGTGAATAGCCTATACTTTTAAAACTGGGGTAAGTTTCTGAATTTAGCAGATGACAGCAGCTGTATTGAAATGTGTGAGATTTTTTCTGATGGGCCTAAAGATATCCTGGGGTTTGAGGTCTTTTCTCCTACACAGTTCAGTTTCAGCTTCTTTTTTGAGAATATGTTTTGTCAGGTTTTGGACTGAACTATGATTCTTGTCATGGTTTCTGAAAGACATTTTTGATAAAAAAAAAATACCCTTTCTGTTACATTGCTGGGCTGAAGATAAGGTCTAGAATTAGATCAGCACATAATTTTCCTAAAGACTAAGGTGCACACTTTATGTTAAATCACTGTGTGTTAAAAACAACGGTTTTACGTTTGTTCAATTCTTGGAAGGCTGACAGGGGTCTAATGAATTTAGACAGGTGAGCCTACAAGACTCCCGGATAGAACAGGGCCTCCTTTTTACCATGTGTTTGCTGCCTTTACTGGGAAGGTAAATGTAGTTTGCAGGCTTGACCAGGGAAACCTTTTAATTTCACCTCCAAATTAAAAGCAGAAGAGAATTTATCCTTAACAAAATAATGTAGTAGTCATGTTGCATTTTCTTTAGCTGCCTTTCGAGGTTGTTTTGTTTTGAGACTGGGTATTACTATGTAATTCACGCTAATCTAGACTTAGCTTTAGAATGAGCTTGAGGCCAGTCCAGGACACATCAGATTCTGTCAAACACAGAAAAATGTGTATTAATTTGCTTGTACACTTAATCTTTTGTGTTATTTGAATGCCTTCCTTCCTATAAAGAGAGAGTCATTCCTCCAGATAACTGAGGTACTTTACCTTAATGGGATATATAAGAAACATGCCCCTATCAGACAGTCAAGGAGACAGAGCCTAGGAGTGCTGCAAATTCAGAACCACTGATTTGTTTATCTGTATGAAATAACTGAAAACCCCTAACAGGCTATAGATGTTATTTTTTTCTGGTATCATCACTTGTATATCTCATCTATGATGACAAAGAAGATGTGCTGGTTTCCCAGAGCCTCCATACAAAGTTCTACAAACACACAATGGCTTGAAACAATAGCAACCTATTCATGTGCTGTTCTGGATCTCCACCACACCAAGCCAAGAGGTAACAGGGCCATGGTCCCTCCAAAGCCCCTAGGCCAAGCGCCGTCTCACCCTGTAGGATTCTGGTAGTCCCAGAAGCGCTCCAGTTCATGGTGGCCTAGCTCCAGTGTCTTCCCTCACATGGCTGTTATTTTCTTCATGGCTCTGCTCCAGTTTCCTTTGTTGACTGGGTCATAGGCCATTGGATTAGAACCACCCACACAGTTTCATCTTAATTTGATTGTGTCTGCCCAGCCCCTGCTTGTGAATAAAGCCATGTTCATAAATACCACCTATTAAACTGGAATGCATCTTCTGTTGACATGATTCCACATGTGATAGGGTCTTCTTCCAGATCTCTTGCCAGCTGCCTCCGAGAGCAGACGGACGTTTCTGATCATCTGCCCAAGTGATATGAATTGGTAGGGTAGCAAAAGTGTTGGTGAGGTTTGCTTCCTTGGTCCCCAAGTCTCCTTTTGTAATTGTATGCCACCTCCTGCGTATTTAGTAAGTCTTCTACTATGTCAACACAATGCAGTTTGATTTTTAAAGAGATAATGGTTTATTTTTCACCTTATCGGAAACATTTTATTTCTATGCACATTTTTTTTAAAGAAGAACATTTTCAGAATGATTTTTAAGCACTCTATTTAGTATGGGTATCTCTATTGCTATCTTGTATTTTTAAGTACAAGCTTGTCAAATGTAATTCTTAAAGATATAATTATGGGAAGTTTATACATGTACCTGTTTGTTTGCAATTAAATTAATCTTTTGGTAGTAATGTCTCTATGTACACCGAAATACTAATTTAAATTTCTGGTGACTTTTGAAAGCATACTGGAAATTTCGGCAGGTTGTTACGCTGAGTTAAGCTGCTATTAAATGAGAACAGGTTTAAAAATTTAAAACATCCACTTTCTGGCTGTTAAAAACTTAGTAGATGGTATCTATTTGCTTTACATAATTTTAAATTGTTTTTTTTTACTTCTGAAGAGTTAAAAAGTATTCTATGTTGCAAAATTACAATGATTCTGTAGAAAGTGGGACATTGCTTGAAAACTTCAACATTTAGAGACTGAAGATATAGTTCAGTGGTAGAGTGCTTGCCCTAGCACATGCAAGTCCCTCAGTTAAACCTCAAGCACTGCAAAAAGGAAAAGAATAGAAATTCAGTATTTAGAAGAATTTGCGGTGGCTCTTGTTTCCCATTCTACGCTTATGGGAGAGCTGTGAAATCAAATGCTGAGAAATCTCAGGTCTTGTGAGTCCCTCCTTGTTCTATCTTCTCTGTTAAATGTCTGCATATGGGAAATGGGTGCAGCAGAGACAGGAAAAGGAGAGACCGGGCTCTCCTGGGATGCTGCAAGAGATGAAGAAATGCCAGGATGCCTTCTCTGGAGAACTTGAGTTCAATGTTAGGCCTGGTCCTGTTTAATGAGCACAATATTGAGACCATGCCTCATCCCAGACAATTCCCATTTCTTCATTGTTTCAAGTGGCCCATTGCATACAAGTTTTTAATGTGATAAATGGACAGGGATAATGGAACAGCAGTTGACTTGCTGCTGGAAGATTACTTTTGTATATTTTATTTAGTTTAGTAATTATAAATTGACTCATGCACAGTATAAAAACATGGAAAAGCCTAAATTTCTCTCTAAAGATGACATAAGAATTTCAGAAGAAGGTAATATTTTTTGTTTTGTTTTTTTGTTTGTTGAGGCAGGATTTGACTTTGTGTCCCTGACTAACCTGAAGCTGTCTTTGTAGATCAGGCTGGCTTTAAACTCCCAGAGATCCACCAGCTCTGGCTCACAAAAGCTGGGACCGAAAGTTATTGACTGATGTTCCCACAGCCATTTAGTCCCAAATAAACACACAGAGGCTTACATTAAGTGTAAACTGATTGGCCCAGTAGCTCAGGCTTCTTATTAATTAATTCTTATAACTTATATCAGCCCATAATTCTTTTCTGTATTAACCACGTGGCTCAGTACCTTTTTCGGCAAGGCAGTCACATCTTGCTGGCTCTGTGTCCGACTTCCTTTGCATTTGGGTGACGCCTGCGAACTGAAACTTCCCTCTTTTCATAATTCTTGTTGCCATGCCTCTACTCCCACCTGGTTGCCCTTGCCCTGCCTATACTTCCTGCCTGGCTACTTTTCTAAAGTACAATTGAGAGGATACAGATCATTGTTCCACAGCAGAAAGTTGTGTTGGAAAGGTTGCCTTTATTCTGGCAACTGAGATACTTTTGGCGATGTGATGGGCTTCTTGTAGTTTGACTAAAGACAAAAGGCTTTGTCTTTTCTTTTTGGTTAATTAGAAAGCAATTTGAAGGTGCACTAAGAGGCAGTATAGAACAGTTTCTCAGATACTTCTCTTGAAAGCTGTACTGAGGACAGGGCTCCTTTGACTTAAAATATTATTTAACTCTGATGG